CTCAATGCAGAGAAACTAAAGCAGATACTTTAAAGCAACTGAGGCCAATAGGAGAAGGGGACCAGGAACTAGAGAAAAGGTTAGATCAAGAATTAACTTAGAAGGTAACACACATGCACAGGAAATCAATGTGAGTCAACTCCCTGTATAGCTATCCTTATCTCAACCAGCAAAAACCCTTGTTCCTTCCTATTATTGCTTATACTCTCTCTTCAACAAAATTAGAGATAAGGGCAAAATAGTTTCTGCTGGGTATGAGGGGAGGGGGGGAGAGGGAGGGGGCGGGGTGGGTAAGGGAGGGGTGGGGAGGGGGGAGAAATGACAAGCCTTGTATGCATATGAATATAAAAAAAAAATGAAAAAAAAAAAAAAAAAGAAAAAGATAATGTATTTGCCTAGTCTCAAAACATGGTTCTAAAAGGTTATTTTCTTGATTACAAAAGGAAAAAACAGTTTAACGGAAGAATACTATTGAACTAAAGTGATTTGAAGTTATCATGCATCATCTCTACTAAACACGTTGACATCATTGTACAAGTGCTGCACTTCAGTAAAGGTAACACACTTATGTATATTCTTATGAAAAATTATAAACGCAAATCTTAATGGGAAAACACATAGGACAACTATATTGAAAAATTTTCCTACAAAAACAATTTTTCCTGTATTCTTCAAACCCTGTCAACAATCATGACAGAAAAGAAAGACTGAAGAACTCTCAGAGACTGGAGATCAAATGAATTGTATTATACCAAACTAAACGTAATACAGGATCCTAAACTGGCTCTTGTAATGGAAAAAGGACATTAGTGGGAAAGTTTCAATAAGGTCTATAGATTTTGTTAAATAGTATTATATCAATATTAGTTTTCTGATTTTGATTATAGAACCTGTGGTAAACTTAAGGGGTTTAAAAAAATTTTTAAAATTATTAAGAAAAAAAAAAAGGGAAAGATTGAATGGGAGATTTATGAGAACTCCCTGGACTATTTTTTTGCAATGTTTTGTCACAAAATCTAAAAATTATTTCAAAAATAAACAGGGTTTAAAGAAGTTTAAGGGGATGGTGTCTAAATAAACAAGGCTGGATTGTAACAAAGAAGATGGCAAGAGTAATTCAGGAGGATGGTGGCTGGTGGGATGGAGAAATGGCTGCTCAAGCTATTTTCAGGGTAAAATTGAAAAGAACTGGCTACTAAATCAATTTTGAGAGGCAATGGAGAGGAAGGTGTCAATGATGATTCTTTTTCCATCTTTGGAGAAAAGTGAGGCTACACACACATTTTAAGCAGTAAGATTCCACCTCACCCTGTTAGAATAGCCATCATCAGCAACACACAACAACAGGTGTTGGCAGGATGCGGGGAAAAAGGGAACCCTCTTACACTGTTGGTGGGAATGTAGACTAGTACAACCACTCTGGAAAAAAATTTGGAGGCTACTTAAAAAGCTAAACATTGATCTACCATTTGATCCAGCAATACCACTCTTGGGGATATACCCAAAAGACTGTGACACAGGTTACTCCAGAGGCACCTGCACACCATGTTTATTGCAGCACTATTCACAATAGCCAAGTTATGGAAACAGCCAAGATGCCCCAGCACTGACGAATTGATTAAGAAAATGTGGTATCTATACACAATGGAATTCTATGCAGCCATGAAGAAGAACGAAATGTTATCATTCGCTGGTAAATGGATGGAATTGGAGAACATCATTCTGAGTGAGGTTAGCCTGGCCCAAAAGATCAAAAATTGTATGTTCTCCCTCATATGTGGACATTAGATCAAGGGCAAACACAACAAGGGGATTGGACTATGAGCACATGATAAAGCGAGAGCACACAAGTAAGGGGTGAGGATAGGTAAGACACCTAAAAAACTAGCTAGCATTTGTTGCCCTTAATGCAGATACCTTAAAGCAACTGAGGCCAATAGGAAAAGGGGAACAGGTACTAGAGAAAAGGTTAGATCAAAAAGAATTAACCTAGAAGGTAACACCCATGCACAGGAAATCAATGTGAGTCAATGCCCTATATAGCTATCCTTATCTCAACCAGCAAAACCCCTTGTTCCTTCCTATTATTGCTTATACTCTCTCTACAACAAAATTAGAATAAGGGCAAAATAGTTTCTGCTGGGTATTGAGGGGGGGGAGGAGGGGGGAGTGGGTGGTAAGGGAGGGGGTGGGGGCAGGGGGAGAAATGAAAAAGCCTTGTATGCACATATGAACAATAAAAGAAAAATGAAAAAAAAAAAAAAGCCAGGAAGAGGAGGTAGTTCTAGGTAAGAATGGCAGTTATTTCAGAAAGTTAAATATGAGATACCAGAGAGGTATCCAGGTGTAGCTGTCAGGAGGCAGTTAGGAATTGTGAAACAGAGCTCAACAGATTTTTAGTATCAGCAATTTTGAAGTTAACAATCACCTAAATGTAGGTATAGAAACTAGAACACAGTTGTGTTTGCTCCAAAGCCTTGATTACTTTTGTTTGGTTGGCAGTATTTGGGGCTTGAACTAAGGCCTTGGTGTTTGCTAGGGCAGGCACATCTAACCATCTTGAGGCATTCCTTCCGTCTCTTTGCCTTTAGTTATTTTTCAATCGGATCTTGTAAATGCAAGCCCTGGCTGCTTGGACAGTGATTTCCTGTTTACATTTCCCACAGCTGAAATGAACAGGCATTTACCACCATGCCCAGCTTTTTATTGTTGAGTGGGGTGTTCAGACTTTTTGCATGGGTGACCTTTTGACCATGATCTCCCAATCTCTGCCTCTTGATTAGATTAGGAGCTATAGCCTATGGTTTTCATGTTGAGAGAATGAGGATGGAGAAGACCAGAGACAAGAATCTTAGTGAAGTTTATATAAGAAAGGATGAGAGAAAGAACTATACAGGCATAAAGAGAACTAGGACCATTTAAAAGCTCATATTTCCATCACTATGGCAGAGGCTTAAAAAGGTGAGAAAAGAAAGAGTTCTTTATTTGGTGATTGGTAGTCACAGTTAGTAACTTTTGAAGAGTAGCTTAATTGACATGGCTGAAAGTTGGAGTATTTTACTTTTTTTAAAGGCAGTATTTATTAGACACTCTGCAAGGTTTTAAAGAGTTATCTCTTTTAAAATGTTTTATTTCTTTTGATTCTTCACAACTGACTCCATAACCAAATTTTCATAGAATGACGAAAGTGAGGAATGAGGGAGTTAAATAACTTGTCCAAATTTCATATAAATAAGAAATGGAGGTCAATTGTGGATTTGACCCAACTGTGTTTGATTCCACATCTTTCAATGATTGCCTTTTTTCTCATCATGGAGAATTAGATTTGCAAAGTAGTTAAGGAGAAGTGAGGCAGCAGAGGGTAGAAAACTAAGATGACTTCTCAGAACAGATGTGATGGACATGAAGGGAAGGAAATGAGAATGTAGCCTCGGTTACAGGAGACAGGAGAGTTTTTTTTTAGGTTAGGGGAGATATTCATAAGTTATTTTGAAAACTGAAGAAAAAAAGGTGGGTGTGAATTTAGAAAAGGATGAAATAACATTTGGGAGAAAGAGCAACATACTTGGATCAAGAGTGTAGGTGGAGGTAATTGCTTTGGAAAGGAAGGTAAACTCTTACTTCTCTGAGACAGGTGTATAAGTAAGTGTAGGTGAGGACTAATAAAGTTTTGAGAGAGAAGTACATTCACATGAATTGGATCTCTGTTTATTTTTGTCATTTTGAGAGAACATCTTGCTCTCTCAGGCTGGCCTCAAAACTCGTGATTCTCCTGCCTCAGCATACTGAGTGCTGGGATTACAGGTGTGTACTAATTACTAATATAGAAGGCAGGAGGGGTGTGATAGGATTTTGAGGGGAGTACAAACAATTTACATGTCTTCTCTGGGGAAACAATGAAAGATGAATAAAATAATGGCATGGCAATGTAAGGGCTGAACAGCAGGAAAGACCCAGCTGAGATGTGAATTTATAGCCATGGTAATATAAAGTCCAGTTATCATTCTCTTTCTAGAGATGTTTGTTCACACAAATGGGATGTTTTTCTAAGAGGACAATCATTGTCATAGTAAATATTTAAGGCTCTTAGATATTTCACTGAGAATCCCAGGTCTCAGTTCCCCAAGGAGTCTTCAGAGTTCCCAAATAAGAGCACTAAACACCCCTCAGATGAGGCCACACATATTAATTATTTCACCAACATCTTTAATTTTCAGGACTGAGTCAAAATACCATAAGGTCACAATTTTCCCCAGAGGTCTACACTTATGGAGGTTAGGTGTTTTCTTTCAACTAGTATTTTGAAACTGAGTTCTTTTATGCCAGTGGCTCTGGAGATATGATGAAGAAAAACACTGAGAAATGTTTTCAGGGCTGGAGGTGTGGCTTAAGTGATAGAGCGCCTGCCTAACAATCACAAAGCCCTGAGTTCAAGTTCTAGTTCCACCAAAAAAATAAATGTTTTCAGAGAACAGAAATGTACTAACAAACACTATGAGGTTCTTTTGGTCAGTCTCAGCACAGAGAGAATCATCTTGTCCCCATATCTCTAGGATGGTGGTCTTCAAGGATAGGATGAGGGGATCTGATCTCTTTCTCATCTCTGGAGCTAAGGTTTCTTTCCTACACACGAAAGTCTGCAAGTTCCATTCAGTTCCAGACCTCTCACTGTAGTCTCCTTGCTTCCTCTTCCTTTTATTTGTTAAAAAACAGGCTTCTTCAGTGTTCAGTACAGAATTTCCAGGTTGTCAGGAGGTTGCTAATAAATGCTGCTTTCTAGATGTCTCTCAAGATAAAACTGTGCTCAGAGGCAGCAAGGGCTGTTGGGGCAGGTGGGCAAACACTAGGATGTGAACACTAGGCGCCCTTCTTTTAATAGTCTTCCCATCAGAGTTTGATGTGCCAAGATGCCTGAGGTAACACAGCAGTTAAGAAAGACTCTACATGAGGAAGAAAGAAAAAGGGAAGAACAGGAAACTAATAGAGTGGGCAGCCATTACCTTGGCCCGTTTCTTGCACAGCAGCACCACGATACTCAGGAACCCTGCTGCTGCTGCATATCCCAGAGGGGTCAGACCACTTTCAGAAGAGGCATCCACATTGGCCCCAAACTCCAAAAGCAGGGCCACCATTTCTGTGTAACCAAGATGAGACTGGACACACAGAATTGGAGCATTATTTAAAACCTCTGTCCGGTAATTAATATTGGCACCTCCCAAAATCAACAGTCGGCTGACCTAGAAATAAGTAAATAGAAATAATAATCAGACAAATAGTCACATCCTTTGGTCCTCTTTCATTAATTACCTGAGCTCCAACAGCAGTGTTTAGTAACTTTTATTATATATTCTTTATTTGTTCCTTTTTCAATGCTTTGCTTTTAGAAAGTAATGTAAAATGTCACCTTTACATAAACTGCTCATTATCTCATAAATGCCATCCACACTATAGTGTTGAAGACTGGCGCTACTAAGTAAACTCTTGGTCAGAAAAGCTCTTCCCAAAACAAAGTGTGTCAATTTACCCTCTAGAGTCAACAGGACCCAATCTTGTGTGTAAAATACTTTTAGAGACAGTCTAAGGAAATCAAGAGATCCAAACTAATAGCCTTGCCTTCTTTAAATTTTAATTTTTCACAATTAATTATTTAATCTACTTGTAATTTCTTTGTGTTTACCTTTATATTTGGAGTATAGAGATTTCGTAAAGATGCCAATGCCATGGAAAGTCCTTCTGTGCTGTAAGAGATCCAGAGACCTTGGAGAATGGAAGATGACACACCAACTTTTTTACTCAAACCCTAAAAAATAAATATAGCAACGAATCAAATCTTAGCCCGCTAAATAGTATCATAGGTAAAGTAGCAGAGTTTTCACCTGAACCGATTTCATGCCTGAAAAAGCCAGTATGCCACTGATGGGGACAAGACTAGTCCTGTAGGAACAAGGTAATTAAATCACCTCGAATCTACTTAACAGCTTTTATTTTTGCTAATCTGGGTATAATTTGTTTTTCAGTATCTTTTCTATTAGCATCCTTGAATAAGTCCTTAATCAAGTCACTAAAATTATACAACTATGGCAAGGAATAATGTGATGTGATCAATGATCTATTTTCATTTCTCCGTGGGCATTTGGGAAAATAATTTTTCCCAGCTTCCTTTACAGTAAGGTAGGCTATGTAAAAGAATTATGGTTAATAAAATCTGGGCGAAGGTAATACATCACATTTAGGCTTGCCCCCAAATCTTCTGTGTTTCCATAGATTTTCTTTTCTTTTTTCCCTTTGGTTTTTTGACGACAAGGTTTGGCTATGGTAGCTCAGGGCTTGTTCTTGAACTTGAAATCCTCCTGCTTTGACTCCTGAGTGTGGGATTCAGATGTGTGCCCATGTTGGCTCTTCAGGCTTTCTACTGTTCTTCTTAACTGTAGGTCAGATGCAGAGGTACTAATGGAAGATTCTGAGGCCCAATGTGATTTCAGAACTACTACAGAGAAGGAACTTGCCCCGTGATCTGCACTAGACTATAGTGGAAGCAGGAAATGAATCTCTGCTAAGTCAGTGAGATTTTGCAAGTTGTTATAGCAACTACAATTTCTCACCCTGACTAATGCACCCCAAACAACCATATCTGTTCATCCTTAGGGAACAAACCTGATTGCCATTAGTAATAACTTTCTCCTATGATGACTGGCATAGGTCCCAATGCATTGCTAGTAGCTCCCCCTTTCACAAGGGCTTCTCCAAAAGGCAACTGAAGTAATTTGTTCATTAAATTGCCTGAGGTTAGATACTCTTACCTTACTCTTCTGTCAAAATCTGGATTGAGTGAATTAAAGCAGGAAATCCTGATGGCAAGATTTTTGGCAGTACTGGCCTTGTGCTTGCTAGGCAGATGTTCTACCATTTGACCCAAACCCTAACTCTTTTTGCTTTAACTTTTTTTTGGATAAGGACTCAGGTTTTTGCCTGGGCTGGCCTCAGACCATGACCCTTCTACCTATGTGTCCCAGCATAGCTAGGATCACCGACGTGCAACAAGACTCCTGGCTTGTTTTTCAAATGGGGTTTTGCTAACTTTTTGCCCAGCTGGCCTTGAACCACAATCTTCTCAATTTCAGCTTCCCAATAGCTGAGATATTAACAATAAAGTTTGGGACCTATGATCTGGGGAGGCATTTTTCAAAAACTACCTACTTCTGTTTGCTTCGTTCCTTGAAATGCAGGTTATTCTTGCTTAGAATACTATGTGTATCCAAATCAGCAAGTTGTGTTTATTTGGTCTATTAGGGAAAAGACCTTTACATAGGAGGAATTTTTAAGTTATTTACAAGTTCATCTGTCAAAATCTCAAGTCATGGTGGTCATGGACTTCCTATAAAAGGTGCAGGCTCCTTAACTGAGTGAAGAACAAATTTCTTATAGAGAGAATTCTCATACTAGGGGATAAGGCTAAAAGAACAAATAATGCTATGGGAAGGTTGGCACATGTACATTGTAAAGGTTTTCCTGACAGGGATATTTTTCTCTTGGAGGGGATATTTTGATAACAACCAAACCTCAAATGATTAAATATTCGATTAAAAAGTTCTCTTTCCAGCCAGGTCAGTTTACTCCTAGCATTTAGGATGCACAGCAGGAGGACTGAGAGCCAGCTGGAAGCTAGCAAAGGATGAAGGCCCTAACCTCAAAAGAACAACAAAAAAACCAAAAATATAAAACAAAAATTTTGTTTCTATTGGATATGTCAGATTTTTTCCCTTTTTCAGTACTAGTTTTGAACTCAGGCCTTCAGCTTGCTAGGCAGGTGCTCTACACACATTTGAGCCACACGTTCAAGGCAGACCCTTTCCTTAAAGCCTGGTTTCCTTACACTTGAGATCAGCTCAAGTATGGGCAGGGTGGTTCAAATATATCTAATGCTACCACATCAATTGCTAAGTTGGTAGTTTTTAAAGAAAAAGACTTCTAGATTCAAGTTTTTGAATTATAAAATAATCAAATTTGTTAATCAAATAGTATAAGTATTAAAAATAAAAGTAGTTCAATCTATCCTAATTTCAGATGGCTTACTATTAACATATTGATGTTATCATTAATACTTTTTATGCATATAAAATACACACTAAATGTACATAAACATGTGAAATTTAATTTAATAATTATTTTTTATGGAAATTCAAGCCATTATAGAAAGTAGAGGAGGAACAGTATAAGTTGAGCATCCTGGTCTGGAAATCTTGAAATACTTGAAAAATCTGAAACCTTCTGAGCCTTGACATGATGCACAAGTGGAAAATTTCCCAACTGACCTATGTGATAGGCTGGTAGTCAAACCAGACTAGTGAACTGAGGGATAGTCTGAAAAAAGTTTAAAGAAATATAAATGGAATTGTGTTGATAAACCCTTGGGTCCTGAAAGAGGCCAGGATGGTAATTGAAAGTGTCCACTGACTTTGATGTTTGGACTCTGAATGAGAATCAGTAACACAGGAGAGACTATTATTATTATTATATTATATTTTTGGTAGTACTGAGTTTTAACTGGGAGCTTTGCACTTGCTTGTTCTAAGCAGGTGTTTATCATTTGAGCCTTCTCTCCAGTCTGAACTATATCCTAAAGAGA